TTTATGTCCTGCTGGAGAAGAGTTGTGTTTAAGTTCACTTGTGATTGACCATACTCCAACATCACTATAGAAAAGGGCCAAGAAATTTTTTTATCCTTTTTATAACTCCTGGCTCCCTTTCCCTACTGAAGCAATTAGCCTGAGCTGACCTCTAGCCAAATGTTCCTGCGGTCAAGTTTCAGCTGCCTTGAGGACAGTCAGCTGTTGTAATTTTTTTCTGCTTTTAGCTCTCTTCTTACAAGCTTTAAGACTCTGGTAAGATGTAGACTATTATTCCTTAGAATAACATGCATTGCAGACACTGAAATTTTTTGTCCTGTTAAGGTACAGGGACTTTGTTAGTAGCATTTGTCTTTCATCATGTACAGGGGCAGGTGCTGCAGGACAGATATTACTAGACCGTAAAAGATTAGTTTTATCCTAAAGCTGATGAGAAGTGAGAAGCTATCTCTTGTTAGGTTAACATTGCAGCCTCTAAACAATACCGTTCTTGTTGACAGTGAGCTTGCAAGAGTGGTTTTAGAGGAACAGCAGTGGATTGTTACAAAACAGATATGTGAGAATTTCCTGCAAGGCAGTAGTTGTCTGCTGATGGGGGAGATGGCAGAGATGGCACTTCAGAGAAATCTTCTCAGAAATTTTCTTCTATACCCTTGAAAGCAGTATTGTGATGGCGCAACTCCTGCTTTGGAACAGATTTTCTCCCATAAGACCTCTCTTTAGTTGCCTTTTCCAGAGCCATGACATTACAGCACGCCCCTGGCCTCCAGCGCTCCTCGAAGTGGTCGCCTTGCCTGCAGCTGAGCCGAGCTCTTGGTAGACACAGAGAGGCTGCATAATCCGCAGCGCTTCATAGCTCTTGCAGATATTACAGCTCCTTTTGCCTGGGGGAAGGCCTTGAGTGTAGACCCTGTCTCAAGGGCCTTGGCTTTGAGCCCTGACAAAGGGAGCGTGGGACCTCCCACTTTCTGCGCATGGCCCATCCATGTTTTCAAATGAGGACAGTCATGGGTTTTGAGCTCAGTCCTGTCTGTATATTGGCCCTATTTGGTCACCTATTGAATTTTTCTCCTGCATGCCACTTGTCTGGGCAGACGCCTCATTGGAGGAGCCCATCTGGATTTGGACAGAGCAGCAACACATTACTGCTTTGCCTTGCCAAGATGGTGGCGTTTGTGGGATTCCCCAGAAACAGCATTTGTTTCTGTACAGCATTTTATGGGAGAAGACCGAGGGATTAAGCAAGGAGTTTGATCACCTTTAGGGTTTAGGAACCTAAATCCACTGGGTGCCCTATTTCAGGCCACTAAATGTTTTAGTCAAGGTTTGTGACTAAGCAGGAAGCCGAATCGGTCGATACGGTTCTACAATTGCTCTTAAACTCAGATAAGTTGCAGCAGCTGCTGCAGGGGCAATGTCTTCCCCTCAACGCTGACTGCTCATTCCCATGCCTGCGCTGCCCCCACTCTTCCCACAATGCGTCTTTGTGGAGGCATATGATAAACCTGGTCGGCAAACAGTTTTGTTACAATGTTTAAATTAAATGTTAATTTATTAAATTAAATTAAATTAAAGTATTAAATTAATTAAAGTAAATTAAATGTTTATGGAAGTTTTTGGACTGCATTAATTTTAACTTGAAAAATTTCCTGATCGAGTTTACTGCATGTAGGTATGTGAACAAGTCTGTGAGCACAAGCCAAAGAGCCGTACTGGAATGGGATTGTTTTTGTCTGCAGCAACAAGAGCTTGTTTGAGTTTAAAGTGATTGTTGAACCCTGGGATGTATCTCCAGACTCCTGGGTTAGCACTCTGGCTGTCAAACCCCTCTTTCTTGGAGGAAGCTGAGGTGGCTTCCAGTCACAGCACTAGATAAAGGGGATATCCATGTTGGGGACGGCCAAATATTAGAATTGAGAGCGTTCTAATTGCAGAGTTGTTCAGTGTGATGTGGTTGTGAAAGCTGAAACTGGGTTCACAGATGTGCTTTGAGTGACTGAGTCTGTCAATGATATTTGCATGGAGAATTCCTATGAGTTTTTTTTCTTTTCATGTAGCTGTTGTTAGGCAGCAAAATCAGCAAAGGTTGATGGAGAGAAGAGAATGGGGAAGCGTGGATAGCGGCAGCATGGGATGTGTGGGTATTGCCGTAGAGGGAGAGAGAGAGAGAGCCGAGGGGTTGTAGATAAGGTGTGGAAAAGGACATTGGGCTCAGGCCTGTGGAAGAGCAAAACAAAACTTTAGGGAGGAATTTGGGCTAGGAAAATTGGTATTTGAGACTGTCTATACTGAGGAGCACCGTCTGTTGGAGAAGCTTTTAAGAGAAATTTCTTTGTGCTGTGGTGTGGAAAAGTTCCAGTTGTTCAATACAAGACTGACAGTAGAGTGTTTACCAGAGCCCAGCTCCTTCCTATCCCCAACAGCAGGCAATACTAATGTGGAAGGGCTGAAGGGGGTGGGGGGACTGTTTGACAGGGTAGAAGTAGCATAAGAGGAGAGGAAGTGACAAATACAGATAAGCGTTTCTGTAGGAGATTTATGCATAGGGAACAATCAGATTCCTTTAAACAGGCACATGCGTGGGGGTGGGGGGACAATTGAGTTAGCTAAAAAAAAGTTGCTGTGCTTGGATGCACCTCGTGGTTTGTCAGTATAGCTTCTCTCTGAGAATAGGAGGATTGTTGGCCTGTCATTGCTTTAGTAACTTTTTTCCAGCCCTGTGCACTCCCACAGCTGCAGCCTTCTACTATGCCTTGGTCCTGCTCCACAGGCTACCTCGCTCTCAGACCAGTATCCGTCCTAAATCCTCGCTAACATGCATCCTTCTCACCATACATTTTCCTTCCTTCCTGTCCACCTGCGAATAAGGGAGTTGTCCTTGAACAGACCTGTGTCTGGTTGGACAGGGGAAAATCCTGCACAGCTCCCGTTAAGTGCCCAGAGAACAGCTCCCCAATTCTTCTCTCCATTCAGCCAGTCACGCCGAGCAACTCTGCTTCCTTCTGCCGTATGCCAACTAAATCTGGCTGAAGGGTGTGTGTGAGAATAAGGCTGGGAATCCCTGAGGCACCCTGCCTGTCAAAGCAGATATGCTGGGGAGGGTCTCTTGGTTTGTCTTTGCAGAATCTAGGTTAAACTCTAAAGAGCGGTCTAAATGAATTCTTCTTGTATTGAGTTTGAAACTTGAAAATTATTGAGCTGTTATGTTAAAGAAGATGTGAAAAATAGTTTCTGATTTTCAAGCTTTGTGCTAAATAGCACGAACGAGAAATTTAGAGTTTGTAATTATTACATTTTTTCTGCAGTGTGAGTGAATCTGTTCTTTTGGGGCAGTAGAATTAAGAAGAGGGAGTTATCTTTTAAATTTAGTGTTAACATAGTTTTAAATACCCAGTATGTTTGTGTTTTACCGTTGTTGATGAAATTCCGACTTTGCTAACTATCCTAGGAGACTGTTTTTTAATATCCAGATTTGACAGCATCAGTTGTGTTAATCAGTAACACTCATTTAAAGATTATTGCTCATTAGTGGGCTTGGCTGTTTGAACACTGCTGATTTAGTCTGCTGTTGGATGAAGAAAGAAAATGTCCAATTAAAAATACTTCAGAGTAGCAGCAAGGGTTGTCATAATTGCAGTTAAATCCAAAAGTGGAGCCATTATTGTATCCCTCCACTGCCTTGCTGAGCTGGGATGCCAGTGTAGCTTGGCAGTTTCATGCCACAGAACAAGATGCTCAAGCACTGTTTCAGTGTTCGTGTTCATTTTGGTGTTGTAACTTTGCTTTTGAAGGTGACCAGTAATCTCTGTGCTCCACTGGCACTCTTGTAAACTGTCAGGTAGTAATCAGTGTTATGTATATTTTTTTCATACTACAGATGGACACCTCATGTTTGTTTTTTTTTTTTTTTGGGGGGGGGGGTGCAGTTTTGTGCAGAAGGCTACCCTGCCCACAAGCCCAGCATAGCCCAGGTTCTGCCCTTCTTTGTTATCAGAGGCAAGAGATAATGGCATGAGCAAAGTAGTGTCCCTCATACACAATTGTGTGATGGGGTTGTGAGAGGTATGTGTGGGGCAAATAAACTAGGCAGGAGAAGGAAGATGCTTTCTGGGGAGGTTGTAAAGGCTTGTGGGATGGCTCCTGGGCCAAGGACTCCATGTGGTGTACTGTGTGAATATGCTTGGGTCCATCCGAAGGTGCCTGCTCGGAATTGACACCAAAAGAAGTTTTCAGCATGAGACACCCTCCATAGCAGCCCTTAAGGACAGGCCAGCAGAGCAGAGGCACTGAAATATGTGCTCACAGTTGCACAGGAAGCCAGGGGGGAGCAGAACAGAGAATTAGTCCGGGTTACTCAAATTCTTGCTGCCACCACAGCTACTGCCTGCTCTCTTTGCTAATCAAGTGCTGCTTCCTCTGGTGGTGACGGTAGCTGGGTTGTTCTACAAGCAGCCTTTTGACTTTCTGGTGTGGGAGCTGCATTACACAGCTACATCACTCCTCTCCTTTTTACTTCGTGTAGTCCTAGCGCCATGAAGCATTATACATGACCTGCAAAGACAAACACAGCTTTAGGAGAGCATGACCTGGAAAGGGGATCTTATCCTTGTTCCTTGAAAGAGATATTACTACTCTTTTCCCACTTTCATATTTAACCTAGGCTAGACATTGGATTCTGTTTTTCAGAGGTTGTTATGGGGAAAGTGTGGTTATTTCCTAGAAGCAAGAAAGACTTTGCAAATACAGAATATTTCCTCTGTATTTAATGAACTAGTGACCCATAAGGTAGCCCTGTTTTAAAAAAAAAAAATAGTATTTACTATCTGTCCTAGACCGTAAGATAATATATGACTTTACAGGGCAATAAACCATAAACTAAATACACTTCTGGTCTAACTCCAGTCAGAAATTCTATAAAACTGAATAGTAGTTTAAATATCATGTAACTGTAATAGTAGAAGTTTATAAAGAAACTCTCTGATTGTCTTTTATTATTACAGAACTTAGAGGTATGGATCTTCGGCATCTGCTGTTTACTTTGGCACTGGTCTGTGCAAATGACTCTCTCTCTACAAGTGATGGTAAGTTTTATGATACCTTTCTGTCTCTTTGTGTATATATAGACTTTATATAAAGAGTATTTTTATACTATATGAATCAGAACTGTGCAAGTACCGTGACTGCAGTAATCTGAGTGCATTATGCAAAAAATATGTCAGTTAATTTTGTTAGGAAGACGGTGGTGGATGAGACTAAGTGTTACAGAGTAAAGGTGAATTTAGTAGATGGCAAAGGTTGGTGGCACGTAAAGAGACTGGATGAATGCTGATGTTACATATCCAGGTTTTCTTTCCCTTGTTCTAGTCTGTCTAGTGCTGAGGTTATGAAAGAATTGTTTGAGGGTTAATTTTTTTATAGAAATTTTTTGTTTTCTTTAAATCTTTTTAGTATATTTTAGTATATGCTAAATGTAAAACTATTTGGAAGTGTGGAGGAAGCATTTTCAGGCTATACGTTTTGGGTCTAAGGCCAGTATAAACAAGTTTTATAAGAAACGCACTTAAAAATTCTTGAGTGTAGGTTAAAAAAGGGATTTGAAAAGAACATGTAGTCTGAACCAGCCAGATTGCTTTGGGTAGCCAGTAGAAACCTTTTTATCTAGTACAAACTCGGAATGCACATCCTGTGGTGTTCTTGGTTCAACAGATCTGCTCATTTTTTGCATCTGCTGAACGTTCCCTCTGGCTTTCCACAGTTCTTTCCCTTCTTAATGCAGGATGAAAAGTATTCCCTCCATCTGAACTTTCTCTGCTGCTTTTTCTTTTTGCAGCCAGCAGTTATTTAGAGCAGTCTTTGTATGTTCTAGAGGCCTGACTTGAGTCTACTCGATCCTTTGAGACTGGTCTTTTACTAGTTTACAACCACAATGAGCTTCAGTGGGAGTTTTGCATTGTTTCAGATTCATCTGCTTATGCTGGTTATGACTTGCTCCTGCAAACAAAAACAGCTTACCTAGTCTGCTCTGTCCTTGTTGAGGCCTTTGGAGAGAACGGTAACAGTTTTCCATAATGACTAATTTTAGATGAACACATCGTTTCTTCTCCCAGAGCTACTGAACAGCTGCCCTCAAGTGGTTCCTTGAGCAGGTGCCCCTCCTGACCACCTAGCCAAGAACAGTGCTAGCAGAGAAAGTCAGAGGGGGCAGTGTGACAAGTAATTTTGGAAAAAGGGAGTGGAAAAGGCTTCCACAACCATAAATAAACTGATAAAATCTGCAATGAAGATTTCTTGCATCTTTCAAAGATTCATTTCCTTTTTTCTTTAGCTCAGTAGTTCCACTCCTACTTAAATGTTACTAAATGCAAATTAAATATGCATAGAGTTGCACACCGTGCAATTTCGCTAGCTGGTCTAGCGTTGATTTTAGCATGAGGTACTAAGCCAAAGGGCTATGGGCTATGGCTCAGTTCTCCAAAGCCGTAACTGCCCTACATTGTAAAGGTATAATCACCCTCCTTTTCCCCAATATAGTTCTGCGTTTTCTTAAAGTTGCATACTTAACATTTCTGAATATCTCTATTTGCAGAAGTAGTAAAGAAATTTGAGGGGTATTATCTTGCTTATAATGGAGAAATTAAGCTGAAAATAAGATGTAATTAGATTCTTCCACAAAGTTTTTTGTTGTTAAAAAAAATAAAAAGTTTTGCATAGGGGAAACATAGGTGTCCATCTCCTTTTATTTGAGTGGCTCAGACTCTGCCATCTTTCTTGTTGGGCATCAGATCACCTGCAAGAGTCTCTTCTCCCTACCCGGTTAAGGCATTTTCTGTTACATTTACCAGATTTGTTTTGAGTTCCTTCATTGATTGTTCTTGGTTTTAGTTGCTAATTTGGCTACTCTGCTTTGCATTTCAGCAATTGAGGGGTGAGACCCAGCCACAGTATTACACTAACGTTAGTTCTAATGTAGCTCACTGTAGAAAGCAATTAATGAGTCAAGTTTGCACTTTTGTTCCCTGGCTTTCTTCATTTCCTACTTGCAGGGATACTTACAATCTGCTACCTGCGTGTCCTGTGGGAAAGGAACGTACCTATTTAAGAAGTGTATAAAGAAGCATGGGAAAGTGAAATTTGGGCTGAAATAATGTGGGTTTTTTATTATTTTTTATTAATTTATTTTGCATCCTTTGTTTTCTGATTTGGTTAAAAGAAGAGGAAATTTCTGATGGGAATTTGCTGAATAAAGCTATGTACTCTTTTCTTCTTTTTTTTCTTTTTTCTTTTCTTTTTTTCATTTTATGCACCACTCCCTTTAGACCTATAGACTGAAACAAAATGTGCAAATTCCTCCTTGGTTCTGCTAAAATGTGGAAAGTCAGTATTTCTCAGTGAAATAATATACATGTGCCAGCTTCTATTCATTGCCTCTTACAGAATGGTCAGTAGAAAAAAACGAATGTGTCCTGGCTTGATCTCCTCTTCCCCTCCATGTCTCTATTTTACAATGCATTCATTAAATGGACAAAAATAATCCCTACTCAGATGCAATCTGCTGGACCAACTGATTTCCCTCTTGAGGTTTAGGGACACAAGGCATAAGAGGATTCTTAGGTCTTTGGCAGAGGAGGTGTGGTCCAGATGTCCTAAGTTCTGTGAAAATTTCATGCTAAAAACAAAAAAATACCCAAAAAGTCACCTTTTGTCTGGTTATATATACATTAATCAAACAGTAATTTTCATGAGTTTTCTTCAAGAATCAAAATACTGGAAGAACATTTAAATTATATTCTTACACTTAAATCCAAGACACAATACTAAATATGTACATCCTAATCTGCTGTATTTTTACAGAATTGTGTTTGTGAAGGGAACAGAGTTTTAATGTGTCAAGAATAAAATTCTAAACTTTAAACTGCATTTAAGGTTGTAGCACTTTTATTTTGGGAGTAGGGGAGCTGGTCGATTGGGAAAGTCAGACAAGGAAGCGTAACTTGAATGGGGATCTTTGAGATAACAGCACGGCAGAACATCCATGTGTCATTCTTGCAAGATTTAGGACAAGTTTTTAAATGAGATCTGTTTATTGGCCGGTATCATTTTGGTTCTATTTTTCCATGTCAGTGTGCCTATATATACAAACAATTTCATGAACATCCAGCCCAACCCGTTACTGCATCATGAATCCTGACAATCTTACAGAGCTCTCTCCAGCACAGTCTTGATGAGACCTTCCTATATACTTAAATTAAATGTGCTCCATACCTGTACCATAGCTGATGTGCTGCTAGAGGAACTGAATCTGCAGTGCCACAGTTCCCTAACAAATCCACTTCATTAAGTAAGATTTTCTATGGCAGCACAATAAAAAATTACAGGTAGTTGCTAATCTTACACCAAAGCATGTTATTGACACAGTGTAATACTGACTTGTACATGGAGGGAGCCATAGAAGAGCTACACACTGTTATGTCCTGAAAGTAAAGCTTATGTGCAGCTTTACAAGTGTCTGTGCTTTGAGCTGGCTCTGTGCAGTGGGGTTAGATCCACCCTTGGCACACAGTTAAATCCCATACGTGTTTCCTCCTGGCAGGAAAGAGAATGTGAGGCCAGCAGTTGGCTGGAGAACTGCACAACAGTCAAGACCAGATATTGGACATTTAGTCACTCATTTGCTGTCTCCAGGCTGGTGCCAGTTCTGCTGGAGGCTTTCTGTTGATTTAGTTAAGTTTTCATACTCGCCTTTTCCTAAGAGCCTGCTTTGCCAGCTCCTTAAACAAGGGCTATGGCTGTAGTGCACTGACAGGGGTGCCCGTCATCTGAGAGATGATGCTAAATGTGGCCAAGTATGTCTGCTGCAGCAGTTCTCTGTGCATAATTCAGAGCAGAGCAGTGAGCAAAATTCATGCTCCTGAGAGTTTAGGTTGCTTTGAAGATGGGGAATTACATACTTCTGAAAATTCTAGAGCTTTATTTTTAGTTAATGAGGTACGTGGACAAGAGACACTACTGATTCATGAATAGATTACCTACTTCTGTGCAATAACAATCATGGTTCAGGAAAAAGTAAGAGCTTATATGCGTGTACCCATACTCAATTAATGTTTGAGATACTTACATTAAACTGTGGTGTTTCAAATACATATTGAAGCACATACCTTGTTATTTTGGTTTAAGAAACCTGCTAACATTGAGGAGGGGGGGGTGATCCGCTCACAGGTTGCAGAAAGCTTAGGAAACAAGAATTAAGTTTTTGTCTGCTTGTTCCTTCTCCACAACTAACCAGCACAGGTCAGATGAGGACACAGAGGAGTAAACTGGGATTTAGTCCCAGTTAATAAAACAATACATAAGCTCAAGCAGTTCCAAAACTAATTTCTTCCCCAATGAAAAGAAATGGGAAACATCTTTTATCATTTTTGGTACTAGAACAAAGTTCATTCCAGAATATTAAAGCTATGCTAATTCATCCTCTGAAACAGGTTTAGAGAGGCACTCATGTTTAATGGTAGAACAATCAAAATATTTTTTGAGTAGACTGGTTTTGTACAATGATATTTTAGGAGCTACAAGCCTGAATTTACTCTACATGTTACTTAATCTGATTTCAGAAATGAATTTAAGTTTTTGTATGACAGCTTAGTTTTGGGGGGATTTTGCTTTTTTTTCTTTTAATTCTTGTATGAAGGTGTTAAGCTCAAATGCCATACTTTGCTCATTTTTATATAAGAAATATGGTTAATTGCTTCCCCTTCTGAGGCACACCAAATCTAATTTTTACTTCCTTCTTTTATTATGCCGGTGTCTGCTCACTTATTGTAATTGGACTCTTTATGTGCATTTCATATCCAGATTAAACCATCTAAATTTAGGTGTGCACAGGATGTTGAAGCTCCCAATTATAGATCTAGGGATTGAATCTGTTATCCATGCACTGGGCTTTATTGTCATTGGAGACACCCCTAGGTACCTGGGACGTCTGCATGGGGCTGGCAGAGATGATGGAGGATCCTTGGGAGATGTGTATCCTTCTGGAACGGCAGCTTAAGGCCAGACATCCCAAAGGTTCCTGAACATTGTGTTT